TCTGACAAAGATTAATGCCAAAAGTGTTATAATACGTCCCTATCTATACGCATGCATGAACATAAAATCTGTCAAAGTTAGCCGAAAATTGGCTAAAACGGTCACTGTGGACAGGATTTGACCTCAGCAACACGTGCGCTGCAGGCTGACTGACATACGATGTATGTGCCTATGTACAACGTACGTGCAAGTACATGTACATTGTGGACGTCCTGTCCTGTGCATGTTTTGAAGCAGAGGTATTGTCATTGTGAAGTTTTAAGCGTGCGCAGGGTATGTTCGAGTTCGCTTATCGCCTCGAAACTTTGAAATGTTTTAGACCTACCCTTAAATCGACAATTAAAGTAAAAACAAATATAAAAACTGCCATGGTTGATTTTTCAGGAATTTTCTAAGGAAAAAGGGTCTTTTCATTATAACTTCCGGTCTGATGACGTCATACGCCTAAAACTTCTCACACGTCTTAAGGGGGTCAAGGTCATCCTATACACCAATATTTAAGCGATTCTGACAAACTTCGCCACAGACATCTATTCAAAACACATTTTTGAAAATTTTCAACCTGTCGCTAGAGGGCGCTCGAAGATTGCATGACGTCATCGGTAAATGATTTGAAGAATACTATTGGCCAAGAGACTAACACCGTTAAAAGCAAGTTCATATCTATTACCACTTTTAAATGATAAGATACTTCCGGTTTTGGCCTTTTTCGACCGGAAGCAAGGGTCACGTGATTTCACGCACACTGAATGAAATAAAGACCTTAACCTACTCTACCACTTGCCGGCAACAGAATGCTGCGGACGCATACGGTTGATTTCTTATGCATTTTTAAATATTAAAAGTGTCACAATTTAATTGCCTATAAATAAACACCGGATGACGTCATCATGACGTCATCATTACACAATGTTGTTTGAATTAGGGTCTTTGCTTGGACAAAGAGTGGTGTAAATGAATTACTAGCAAAGAGTCAAAAATGCCCTTTGAAAATTGACAATTATTTCTAAATTTCTGTGTACAAAGTCTTTGGGAAAAATTAAATATTCAAAAATCTATAATAAATTAGTCGATGACGTAATCATGACGTCAATCTTCGGGACACATCTTTGCTATAGGGACTATGCTTATGCAAACTTAGAATGATGTATGACAAAGATTAATGCCAAAAGTGGAGGCCAGAAAAAACGTGCACAAAGTCTATGGGGTTTAGGCGACAAAAAGAAGAAAGAAGATGAAAAAAAAAAAAAATGAGAACAAAAAGAAAGGCTTTTTCGCAAATTTTGCGAAAAAGCAAAAAAAATAAAAAAAAATAAAAAAAAATAAAAAAAAAAAATCTTAACGAAAACATGAGCTGTTTCGGTGTGTACACCGAAACAGCTAAAAAAGAAAATGAGAACAAAAACAAAGGCTTTTTCGCAAAATTGCGAAAAAGCCAAAAAAAAAAAAAAAAAAAATGAGAACAAAAACAAAGGCTTTTTCGCAAAATTGCGAAAAAGCCCCAAAAAAAAGGAAAAAAAAAAAAACTTTAACGAAAACAATAAATCTTAACGAAAACAAAGGCTGTTTCGGCTGGTTGCCGAAACAGCCAAAAAAATAATTTAAAAAATCTGAACGAAAACAAAGGCTGTTTCGGCAAAAGTGCCGAAACAGCCAATTATTATAATTAAAACGACAAATGTAGCATTAGGGAGACACGTTATTGTAATTTCTTCGACACTTGGGAGACATCGGTCATTAGGGAGACATTTTCATGTCTCCCTAATTCCACAGCCCCCCTTCAGAGGCAAAATTTTACCGTCGCAACCGGGTTATATCTGTTGCTCGTGGTCTAATTAGTAAACATACCGAAATTTGTGGAAAAAGGACCAGGAAATATTGGGTTAGGGCACATTTAAGTTTGAAAAATTGTGTGCACAAGTCTATGGGAATGTCTCCCTATGGTCCCATTTTCGGTAATTATTAGCTGTTCCCAATTTCAATTAGGAACAGCTTTTAATTTCGTTAAAGTTTCCCTTTTCCCACTGGTTTTGTACACGTTTTTATTCTACAAGCCACTTTGGGGATTATTTTAAATCCGATCAACTTTAAACTCAGCATAGTCATTAACCATCACCTGAAGATGTATGCAGGGGTCACGTGACATCTATTTATAGATTCAATTTTTACAGCCTTATAACTATAGAACTATTTGACCAATTGATCTCAAATTTGGTAGGTATACAGACAGGGAAGTGTTATAGATGAAAATTGATCTGTCAAGGTCACGTGACCTTCACTTCCGGGTTTACTGGAAGTGGTAATTTTAGACCCCTATATCATATTTCATGAATTATTAATCTGATAAGGTTGAAATTTCACGTTAATACAAAGCTATATTGACAAATAATTATATTGCGTTATTGTTACTGTGCACTTAATTATTGTCATGTTATGACGTCATGAATATTTAATGAGACACTCTTTACAGTCTTATAACTATAGAAGTATTTGTCCAATTGATCTCAAACCTGGCAGGTATATAGACAGGGAAGTGTTATAGATGAAAATTGGTATGTCAATGTCATGTGACCCCTACTTCTGGTGTAACCGGAGTGTTCATTTTAGGCCCTAATGAGCATATTTAATGAATTATAAATCTAATTTGGTTGACACCTTATATTAGCAGTAAGCAACATTAAAGGATAAATATGTTGCATTCTTATTAATGGTCAGTTTATTGTTTATGACGTCATGAATATTTAATGAGGCAATCTTTATAGTCCTTTAACATTAAAACTATTTGACCGATTGATATCAAACGTGGTAAATATATAGACAGGGAAGTGTTAACAACAACAACAACAACCACCACCACCACCACCAGGCATTTATATAGCGCTTTTATGCCGCAACGGGGTATCAAAGCATGTTAGGGAGCTTCTCATAAAGGTCAAACTGTGTTTTGACCGGATCCATCGCGGCTTGACCGGTCGTTAGTTACCAACAAAACATCCAGCTCTTCTGCCTACTCTACATGTCAATGCAGCTCACTAACAAACGGCCCCATTGTTATTGAAATGATTTAATAATGTGTTGACCGCAGTCGTGTGTGCGGTGAATGCAGTCGGCTCCACAGAGGCATGGCTGCCGACTGCGGCCACCGCATTTACACTCCTTTGATGTCTGGAGATATCTGCATTTTGACTTTATTGTTTGCTTTTGTTCTCTGGCATTATTCGTCTACGGTTTGAATGCCTGAACAAGCCCACGCACACACGCTTACATAGGCATAGAAGTGGGGTACTTCCTTTGTTCTCGTGTACTAAAATTTTGCAACGTCGCACACTTATGTCAAAATGCTCTTATTTTAACCATAGTTAATTTCCTGGGCTGACACCCCCCCCCCCCCCCCAATTCAGCGCCTGCATTTCTTAAATGTTGTATCACAATGCCTTGAAAAATGCCTACATGAAAATATTAATGTTTGAAGTCCGAATGATCAAAACCTGGAAAGAAAATATGGTTATTTAAATTCACTTGAGTTATTATGATGTCATTATTTCTTCGGTTTTAATAAATTACAACCTTGACATTTGGCATATGGGGTCCAAAAGTGACTGGAAATGCTAAGAACAACCCACGTAGCTGTGCATACTGGTACATGTACTAAATCTCAAGTTGATATATGCCAAGCTTTTCTTGAGTTACATGTGTATGCTGAGAAAACTGTATTCCTTGGCCTGAACTTCCAAAAAGTGACAGGTTCCTGGAAGATCCCCAGACTAACCTAACTACCAAGTTCTTGACATAAATCAAGTCCAACATGAGTTATCACTGTAAAAGCCAAAAGTATGATGTACGCACGCACGCACTCACCCAGTTGTATTCACACCGTCAATTGTGGATGTCGTATTGTTCCTGTTTTGGTTGTACACGACCCCAATCGAGGACGTATGCTGGGAATCGCAGACGATATTGTTTGCTTTTGTTCTCTGGCATTATTCGTCTACGGTTTGAATGCCTAAACAAGCCCACGCACACACATGTGTGCCTTCATGCACGGGCATTGCAGTATGCATGGTGTTCTGTGGGCCTACACTACATACACCCCGAGGACTGACAGATAAAGGGAGAACAAAAGATTCTTTGTTGACCTCAAGCTTTCATATTTCGTTGAAAACAGTCCTCGATCATGCGTTGATGTGCAAAGTCTATGGGAGAGTGTTATATTACAGGGACAAGGGAAAGAACAATTGACGATCCTCGGGAGTTATGAAAAATACGACTGTGTGTTCGTGTGCGTGTACAAACAATGCCTTGTGGGGTACCGGAACAATGGGAGGTACCCCACAAGGAATGCCCACCGACTTGCAGGGTACCGTTTTGGTACCTCACAAGTTTTTTACGAAATAGATATGTGGATTTTACTCAAAAACTAGGAATTTCCAAGGTGGGTTGATCTGTCGCAAATGGAAGAGTTTTAGAAAAGGGATATTAAGTCCGAATTTCAGCCCAGGAAATTAACTATGGTTAAAATAAGAGCATTTTGACATAAGTGTGCGACGCTGCAAAATTTTAGTACATGAGAACAAAGGAAGTACCCCACTTCTATGCCTATGTAAGCATGCGTGCACGCACACAGACGGACAAGGCCGAAACAGTATAAGCAGAAACTTTGGCTTTGCTGGTGGGACATGAAAACATACATTTGAATTCAGCGATACCAAATGAAACAACTTCCAATGTGTGCAAAAGGTTGTGTCTCTCAGTTATATTCCCTCAATCAATCAATACACACCAATGACAATAATTATTGTCATAATCATGGTAATAGTCTACTCTATTTTTTCCTGGTTGCCACTGAATGCCCTTGACAAATTTGCCTTTAACATGAAAAAGTTACTTAAATGGCATATAGAATTTATTTGTGAGCATGTCATTCGTGGCAGGGAGTTGGTCCTTGTCAGACGAACAAATTGTAATTATGAGTTTGTCACACTTTCCAGCTATGGGCTCACCTCTTTTAAATTGTATCTCCAACTTATCTGCAATATCAGGAGCTTTTTTGGGGTCAACCGTCATCTGGTAAAGGTCATCTGGAGCCTCTGTCTGTAATATGGGGTTGGAGGGGGGAAGCAGAAAAAAAAAAGACAACCCATGTGTGTGCTAACCAAAGCAGATATTTATATAAAATGGAATGGCTGCATAGAGAAATGAAGAAGAAAGGGAATATGTATATTATTTGCAACTTATAATAAATGTTTATCAAAATAACTTTGTTTGTTTTTTCTGGTACATGTAATACTATAATTGTGTGTTGGAATTTAGTTCATCAAGTGTTCCCAAATTTACACTTTTAAGCTGACGTTACGTGACCCATGGTGACGTCATGATAACGTCACTGTTAAGGACACAACTTTGCTATAGGCATAGGGACTATGCCTACAATTTATGCTGAATTTGAATAATTACAAAGAGTAATGCCAAAAGTGGATGTTACAAAAATCATGTACAAAGTCTGTGGGATTTGGGATAAGAACAAATGGGGGAAGAAAGAAAGAAACAAAATCAGAACAGCAAGAAAGGCTTTCCGCAACTATGCGGAAAAGCTAAAAAAAAAACCAGACTGATAATCATAGACTGATAATCAGGGAACGAAGATGGTTGAATGCACTTTTTCATAAACTTCCGACTCGTGTATGGTTTCTTGACGTCTGCAATGCAATACTACCATCAAGACCTAGTTGAAAACAGTCACCCGAGCAGAAGATTCTTGCCGTGGATCTTGAATGCATGGACCGGTCTGTACGTCACCGCATGGCCCGTGAATGTAACGTGTCGTGCGCGCAACGTTTTTCGTACTCGGAGTTAAAATGACTCTTTTCAAGCAGCAAAAACCAGCGTAATTTCAACATCAATCCCAATCATAATGGGAAAATATGTAAGTTTATTACATGATTTAAATGTCTTTCCATATTATGAGGAATATTTTAAAATTTAATCTTTTAATTGAGGAATGAAAAATCCAACTTTTTGAAACAAAATCATTAGACCGTGGGCCAAAGCCTGTAATCTCGTCTTAAATTTTTAAATTAGTGGCAACTTCGTTTCTCGGTTGCAGTTTGGAACATGTTAATTGATATTTTACAATGTGCATGCAACGTCGTTTGCACAAATTAGAAATACAGGGGATTTTTTCCCCAATGTAACTATACCACATGAGGGCGATCGCAATGCATCGCTGCTATTGCATACCAGCCTCACCTCTATGGGCGCATGCGCGTTCCCCCATTAACCCCTGGCCATGGGGAAAACGTAAGCGGCGAAGCTGACCGGCTATTCAGAGTGAACTGCGCGTAAATTTCAAAGACTGCGGGCACTATAGCGCTCGCACGTCATGTCACGTCACATACGATTTGTTTTTGCAAGACAGCGCGATGCCTTTTCGATTTGGATTCGGAAAGCCCTGTTGTATGCCCCCAAAAACAGGTACTCTGGGTAAAGAAATGGAGGAAAAAAATAGTGTGTCACTTATTAATTTGAAACTGAATGACTAGTGATTGACTTGTGATTGATTTTGTGTTGAAAAGGGCCAACAGATGTACCTACATTTAATACAAATCCTTACTAAATAACGCCACATCAAAATCTCATCACATTCATCTTTGAAACGATTGATTCCACAACAAAAAAACTTTCAAAAATGTGAGCATCGTGTCCCGTGTTAAATAACGACTCATATTATCCATGCCAACTTCCTTTTTATATGTATTTAAAACAAAAGAGTTATCGCAAAGATACTATTTTTGACCAAAAATGTGCAAAGTAATCAGGAAAAAAGTCGAACCTCAACTTCTAGACCTGATACAGATTTTGGCCTATGGCCTACATTGGGTGTGTGTACATGTATGCTGCTGGCTTTCATTTTGCACACAAAGTGATCACCAGTTGCAACCAACATGTGCGCGAAGCCTACTTGAAGCACATTTAACAATGACTTCTAATGATCCTAAATGGCCTTGACCCAAATCATATACACTATACCTTAAGACTTCAATAACCTTAATTCTAAGCAATATTGCTTTGAGTAACCATGTTTCTATGTAATAGCATTTTCAGATTTTGTCCATTATGACTTCAATTGACCCCTGGATGACCTATGACACAAAATCCTCAACACAAAACATCAGCATCCCCTCAGCAACATCCATTCATTTCTGTTGAAAGACAGTCACATTGCGTGCCCTTTAAAAAAAAAAAAAAAAAACCTTATACGACCCCTATAGTCCTTTGACCTCCAATTTCTGGAGAGGCATCATGATCCCCCCCCCCCTGCCCGCCTCCCCACTCAAGGATCACTCCATTCAAGTTGCATCAAAATTCATCCAATCTGAAACATTTGACTTTTGACCTCACTATTTCAAAGACGAAATGTGTCTTCCCACCTAACGGTCAGTGCATCTAATGTCATCAAAATTCATCAAAGCCTGTACAATGTAAAAACTTTCCCCAAGAAACTTAACCTAAACTTCTGTTAATTACATTATAATTCACCTCAGCTGAAATATCTCCCACATTATCTTTGCTACTCATGACCCTTGTGTCAAAGTTTTATGGGAACTCAGACCAATACTTGGAAAATGAGAGTAAATTTGAAAACAGGGATTTGGTCGTATGGTAACAGAATTTAGGTCTTGTAAGTGTGCTACCGGTAAGGTACTGCAAAATTATTTTTTCATAGAATGTATTGTCCGAGAAACATTCAGTAACAGTTTTTAAAAAATGGTGGTATTTGCATTGGGGAGATGTAATTCAGTACTGGGTTTCACCCCTCACTGAAGAACTTCTTCATTACAAACACCTTTTACTCTGTCTTGTCCCGAGGGCAAACATGACGATGCTGGGGGCTCTGCTATTTCCTTTGCTTAACAATATGCTCAACAGATCAACGAGATCGCCCCCAACCTTACACACAATGTAATTACCATGGGATTCTCAAGGATACCAGACTCGTAACTGATGTGCATTAAATTGCCATCCATGCTCCAGGGTTTCTTTGGGGTGATAGACAGCGGAATGTCGTTCTTCTTGGCATACTCAAATAGGTCATTGCGACCCAGGAAACGGTTGTAGAATTCCGGGATCTTCCATGGAGCAATGATCTGCCTCAAAAACAAACAAAAAATATGAATTAAAAGAAAATTACTTCAAAAACATAAAGTGAACATTTACTGACATTCAAGCAGGTTATTACTAACTTTGATAAGTTTAAATTATAACAATTTTAAACATCTGAAAAGAAATACATTTGCTAGTCCCAGAGCTAGGGCCAGCCTATAGTCTCCTCCGTGGTGCGGTGTTTTAGCACGAACGAGATGGTAGACTGTGCAGCGAGTCACCAAAGTGGGTGCCCTTCACATGTACACACAAGCCAACCGGCCGCAAAGGACATCTTGAGAATCTCGTATTTCTGACCGAGTGTCACTTTTGAGCTGGGCGGAGTTATTGTATAGCATTACAACACAACACCATTGAATGGGTTCATGAATGGGCCCATTGTGTAGACTGATGTACTTCCAGTGAATTGCTATTCCATAACAATTGAATAAAATATTGTGTACAGTATTCTGGGACCAGCTTACTAGGCTTGCAAGGTTCCGGCGGTTCCCCGGTTCCAATATGGGAACCGGCACCGTGAGTCCAATCTTTTCAAGAACCGGGTACCCACCATTGTTGATTCCTGGCTCCAAAAGAATCGGTTCTATATTAAATTACCCATTCTCTGTACACAAAACCCGGAGCCGAGAATTGGCTACATAGGAATTCAATCGTAGGGAGGCTCGGGACATTCACTCTGGCCGGCTAGTCAAAACAATATTTCATGGAAAGTTTGAGACAAACCGCTCAACAGAGCCCTTGCGAGTTTGCGGTCGGCCATGAGGCGTGCATATAGAGCATTGAACCCAATACTGGCCCTGTATGATGGACAATAAACGTGCATGGGCGGCGTGTGGCCAGACCGCTCAGAGTTATTTGGACCAGCTCCATGCTTGGACAAGTGGTGTAGCTGTGTCCAGGACTCGGACTCGAGTCGCACTCGAGTCACATTTTTCGTGACTCGGACTCAACTCGAGTCACACTGGAAAATTACTCGGACTCGACCATGATGACTGGGACTCGAGCTTGGTGACTCGTGACTGGAGTCACGTAGTTTCATCAAAAGAAAAAACATAGCGTTATGTATTTGTAACATTCTTTTTTACTCCATTGACAAAACAAGTCACCGTGGAAAATCGTATCCAGGGGCCGCACACGCACGTCTTCCGCCTGCACGACGAGCACCAGGGCCCGGTGTCATGCCAAAAAGTGTACAACAACATGTACACACATACAGTAAACTACATACACTGGGATTTACTTAAGAGACAGAATGGATGATTGAAAAGTAATTTAAAAAATTGATTAGTTTGGTGAACAACTAAGACCAAGTGACTTGTTGTCAGAACTGATGTGAATTTCCTATACTTTTATTCTTATTTCTTATGTTTAGCGAATAGAACTTCTCCATACTGTGTTAAATGTTTCCTAAACGAGACTGGCGAAGTCTATTTTGTTTGTAAATAAAGATTTATCAATGTAAACACCTGTGTATGTTGTATTTGTTCTTCTTCCTATTGTTGATTGAGCCATGGTATGATCCAGTGTGTCAGTGTGAGTGCAGAAAGTGAAAGCGAGTGATTCTTATGCAAATAGCGCTTTTCACCCGCTGGCTTTGGAATGCTGCAGATATCGCGCGAATGCCAGAGGACTTTGCGATCGCAATATAGCAAGTCACGGTCACTCCAAAACCGTTGAGTTTGGATCCAGAAATTTCCACTTTTGAGGTGGCCGATCTGCTCGATCTACCGTGAGTAATTTTATTGGCTAACATAGATACCAGATTCTTGATTTTAGCGAATTTTGTCTATATTTTGTTGAGAAAATTGACGTTTGATTTATGATCTAATGAGACATAGTTTTAGTTAGCACCGATGTGCGTACATGTAGTTATTTTTATGACGTCATATGACTTTCTAAGTTTTCATTAGAATTTTGGATCACTTATTGGTCGATTTAATTATAGATTATGTCATTGGATCATGGTTTGAGAATCGATAACTTTATTTGAAGTTTAACTGGAATTTTGAGAAAGATGACGTCACAGATTATGTCTGCGCAGATGACGGTTATTTTTATGATTTGGTTGGCCAAATATGCTCTTTAGTAGAAGGGAGTATTATTATAGAATATAGACGTTTTAGGTTTTGAAATTATAAATTTCAGATGGCTCAGGGTCAGTGCGCCAGAGCAAGGCGTTATCTGGCATAGCCTGATGGGCCCGTATTGAAGCTCCCGATCAAGAAGAACCCTACCCCGGCCAAGCAACACGGCGAGACGAAGCACAGACGACGCCTGCTTGAAGCAACTGAGACAGAAAGCTGCCCAGTCTCTGGAGGGTTCAAGGCCTTCAAGTCCAAGGGACAACCGTGAACCGACCGGAGGAGCTGACAACGCGTGATTCGCGAAAATATTGGTGGGCCCACCATACTTTGTTAAGTATTGATTAAAGATTTGATTTGAAGTATTATTTGGAGATTTGATTTGGAAAGTTGATTTGAAGATTTGATTTGAGGAATTAGGCCTAAGTTGAAGAGTTGAAGACAGGTGAATTGTAACTTAATTTGTTTGATATTTCTTGGTGTTTTGTTTTGGATTTAATTTTGTTCCTTGTTATTCCGTTTACTTGATTAATACCCAGTTAAGCGTTTATTTGTTTACTTTTCATTTAACATTTTGATTGATTTAATTCTTTGTTTATTTGGTTTAATTGTTTAATTTGATTAAATTCTTTTCGAATTCTATTACTAAGTTTTACAGAGTTTTCTTCATAGTATTTTTGCTTGTTAGGGTGACAAACGGCCCGAAAATTAAAGTTTCGCAGCAACCTTTAATTTGCGCGTTACATTTGGGGGCTTGTCCGGGAAAGCATTTGTCATTGTACCCTACTCTGGTTTTGTAATATACAGAGCATACAAGCAAAAGTACTGTTGAACGAAGACATATCTGTTTGACAGGCAGTTATTTTGAAGTTATTTTATTTGATTTCGAGACTGCATAGGGCTACTCAGGTACTTGTGAGCTAGTTTGCTTACCACCACTGTTGTTTTTTTGGGCTGCATCATTTGTATGTGTGATCGCACCATCCGCTGCTTGCTTAGCTTGCTTCACTGATTTCCGTGTGTACACTGAGCGTAGTCGTGAATAGGTCGCTTTTCATGCTTTAGTTGCTGCATTGTTAACGTGGTCATTGTGCTTACGCTGGGCTCGTGTGTCCGTCACTGCATGCTGAATGTCGTGTTGGTTTGTGCTACTGTTTTGCTTTAATTTGCAACCTTTAATTTGCACGCATTACACTTGTGACTCGGACTCGGACTCGAGGTTGTGACTTGGAACTCAGACTCGATGTTGGTACTTGACTACAATACTGTGGTGTAGTGTGAATTAAGGTTTTATGAAACAAAGAATCATAGGAGGTAATGCATGTGCCCATGCATAGACAATTAGGAAAAGGACGCGAGAGGGTTTAACCAATAAAACCAAACAGGAGTCTGATGTTCACAGGAGTCCAATTTTCATATCACACCAGCTCTGAGTGCTGGAATCAGCTCTGATGGACCCGGCTCTGAGTGCCGCGGGAATCAGCACTACATGTATGGACCCGGGTGCAGGTACAAAGTACCCAGCTCCAAATGAGTCACTTTATACCGTTGCATAAAAATGAATTAATCCTTCCCTTTGGTTGATTGTTGCAAATGATTAAGAATTCCTAAAATCCAAAGGGATTTTCCATTCTAGTAAGAAAACACCACTGTTTACCTACATTTGCATATCAGTGTGCATGTACACAAACATTGGCTGAAAAGAATAGCGCCCAAGCCTCACCCTCCGCGCCCACTACATGTCCCTTAAATAGCCCTGTTACACAAAGACTCCTCCTAGTTTTGGGTTTTTTTTTGGGGGGGGGGGGTTCCCATAAATTGGGAGGGATGGTAAACAGAGGGGAGTGTTTTCTTACTAGAATGGAAAATCCCTTTCGATTTTAGGAATTTCATTACAGAAAACATCTCACCTCTGTTTACCTACATTTGCAGAGTAGCACCGAAGACTCTAGGGAGGGAAGCTTAGGGACATATTCTAAAGGAGCTTTGCAGGCTTTGCAGGCTGCTAATTGTGCAGTTTCCTGGAAGAATTCCTGCTTTTGCAACACTCTGCTTGCACAACAGGCACAGCTATAAGCAAGATATGACAGTGTAAAGGTTCTTCCAGCAGTCCACTTTTCTGATACCTGAAAAAGACAGTCCATTCCCTGTATCTGAAAAGGAAGCTCCAAGCAGAACAGTTCAGGAAGTTGTCACACTGGGTGTTTCCTGAGCTTGAAATTTTGATCCTTGATTTTGGGAAGGTACTGTATGGCCACTGACAATCGAGCAATCATTTTTCACAGAGGCTTGAAGATGATGCTAGATGAATGTACGAGCATTTGCGTGATGTAGCCTCTTGAAGGCTCAGTGCGAGCATTGTAGTTCTGCAGAGCTTGCATGGGGCACCACCATATCCTCTGCTACTAATGAAGAGGATGTCAACTTGGCCGAAAATATCTGGTGCGGAAATAAGTTGATTTATTCCATGTGTTGAACTTCACCTGTGGAATAAAGTAAATGCGGTCATGTGCCAATGGCTATGACATGGTAAATTAGTGAAATTCCCTTCTTAAGGCAAGCTACTGCAGCAGCCAGTAAGAATATGGGTTTTGCAAGCTGACAGACAGGAGAGCTTCAATGTACCTGTTGGTTCCAAATGGGGCTTAGGTGAAACTGGTGTGAAAGATTGTCAGCGAAATCCCAAACGAAGGTGCAGATGCAGATCGGGGATTGGCAGCTACTATCATACCCCATAGGGAATCAAATCTGCTTCTGACTGTGAAGACTGTAGCTTTCAGATAATGATAGCATCCAGGCGCAAAGATGGAGAGTGGCTGTGTCTGGGTGTAGAATGATTGTTGTGAGACCAAGGTGGTCCAGAAGTAAAGGGATTATGGCTGCTGTGGCCAAAAAGGAGCTAC